ATAACAAGAAACCAACGTAATATAATTCGACGAGGGTCTAGTGACTTTTTAACTAACGTTTTAAATTTTGTAGTTAAATTATACGATTTCATTTGATATTTTAGATATTACACGAAGTCAGAAATAAATTGGCGTCGAATACGAAATGTTGAGTACGAAACCAGTATGATTCGAGGATATGGTGATTAACACTAGAATTCTAGGGACTTCGTTCTATCCAATACCCTGTTAGTTATTTCCACCGCAATTTTTTTTGTATTATTGACGCTTTCGGCAGATGTTACAGTTAAACAATGTTTGTTGTTGTTGACATTCAATGATCTTTCCTATTAACCCTTTGCACTCGAAAGGCAACTCTCAGTTGCCATTTAATCAGATTCTAAAGATCGATGTTAATTAATATATCAAATTTAAAATTACCTAACGATGCGTGGAATGTCGAAGTAAAATAATTCTATGTCTTAATTTGCATACGATTTCTTATTTACCGTTTTAAAAATATCGTCGACTTTATAACAGAAATTCTTCGAATTACTATTTTTCTGTAATGAAGAAATCGTCGAGTGCAAAGAGTTAATATTGCAATTAATTAAATATGTTTTATCGAAGACGTTAGTTTTCGATAATGACTTTCTTTTTTAATACCACTATATGACAAATTTTTAATAGTACTGCGTTTTAAATTGTTTAATTTGCTTCTATAATTATTTCAATATGATAACAAAATTTATGGTCGTTAATTTAACATTAGAAGTAGCAAATGGCTCAAAATAATTTGTTCGAGCTTCTCATTTTGACAATTTCTGAAAATATCCTATTTTGGAAATAGTAACGTACTTATGTATAATTTCTTATATTCATTAATATACAGATATGCATCGCAAGTCGATAGTTCTAGTGTCAAAATGTATCACGGTGTCGTTATTATGTAGAAATCATTGCAAATTTTAAAAATCTATTTACGTCATGTTATATATAATAATATGCAAAATAATAAAATTTTGTCATTGTTTACTTCCGTCATCAACTATTACGAGAAAATTTCGGAGAACCATTACCGTGAACCTGTTTGAATTGAATTACGCGCGCAATCTGGGGAATACCCAGATCAAAGTGCAAACTTTCTAGTAATATTTAACGTCAGGTCTTTTTGGTTAACTTAAAATTTTTCGAACTGTATACTCTTTAAATATACATTACGATCTGTATGCCACTGACATACACATAATTACGATGTATATCACACTAACTAGACAATCCAATATTTATATTAATTAAATATTAATAATATTTATAATATTCTAATACTTCAGGTAACTCGTGTCGATTTGATGATGAAGATAATCATGTATAATTATTGTAAAGATCTTCTTTCTTTTCTTTTCCAAAGAAATTTGTCACTCCAAGAAAATTAGAATTTTGATGGAAGATATACACCTGGCCTAAAATGAAATCAGCGGCCACTTGTAATGATACTGTTGAATACGAAGCAACCCTTTCGCAATCGGGACGTTAGGCTCTCATAATATTCCTGCATAATCAACGAGAAAAAGTGTAAGACCGTTGACATTTAAGCAGACGATAATCACGTTCCCCGATTACGGATTCATCGGTTTATACACGCGAAAGAGATAATTGAATCGCGAACGATTTTTCTGTTTTCGCTGTTATCCTCGCGAAGGACATTCACGAAGGTACTTGTCGATGGCAAACTTCGTTTGATGCTTAAAATCTTAAACGCTGTTAAGTTGCATGGAGAACACTTCGACGATAATTTTTCTTTTTAACGAAACGAAATAAATTTTATTTGGGAATATTATAATAGCATTGCTAGAATTTATTATGCGTAGCTATAATACCATGTTCATTTGATTTGAATATTTTACTTTTATGAGAAATTAATCGATTTGACAAAATAACGGTAAATGCGAGAATTAGACGTAATGCAAATAAGCAGCTGGATAATGTAATTTGTTTATGACAATAAAATAAGCAAAGTACTATAAACGTTTCATTAGAGTTCTATTTAACTTGATTTACCGATATAAAGAGATCAAATTTACCTGACTGAATTAAATTAAATTGAATTTAATTTAAGCAATAGATAATCAGTTGAACTATGCTTTTAAGTTGTAAATAGTAATTTAAAAAAGAGTATTAAAATTGAAATTGTGTAGCTTATACTATTTTATTCTAGTGTGGAATAGACAAATTGAAATTAATAAGGTAAAAGATATTTTTAAAAATTTGAGTTGTTAATAGGAAGTTAAGTAATGAAAGAAACGCTGTTAGTTAGTGATAAGAAATCACTCTAACGTTTACACTAACGTTTGTAGATTAACCAAAAGCGCGCGTGGACATGTACAGTGCAAGTTGACAATGTTTCGAAGTGTTTGATATTCGAACAATTGATACTTGTGATAATTAAAAAGATGTATTTGCTTTATTGCGACTCTACAATCTTATAGTATACTATTACATATATAGATTATTGTTCGAGAATTTCTTGATGAAGATGCAGGAGTAATAACAACAATAGTAATAACATAACCTCTAAAGATGAGAGGTTATATTGTTCATTATATGTTTACTTTAGTAAAACGTTTATACTAACGTTTGTACGTCTGAACGAATTAACAGATGAGCATTCAGGATTCTGTATAAATAGTAAACAATTGAATTGAGAATCGAAAAACTTAGAATTCTGGGATTATTCTATGAATAAAAGATGTAGCAACATATTATCGAATATCAGGTTTAGTTTTTGGAAAGATATAGCTCCACGATATCAATCAGTTAACATTTAAAATCGCATGATCATGGTTCGCAAGTTCGTGGGAGGCATCGTATTTTTAGCTTTAAATGGCTGTATCTATTATTGACGCGATTGTTCGACAATTGAAGGATTCTAAGAGAGATATGGTATGACTTAATGTAAGAAGTTATGGGAAGATCTTAAATAGGCTTTTGAGAGTTTTTTACCTAATTTATAAGAATTTTTGAGATTGTATAAGTTAACATGTAATTATTAATTTATTATTTTCCTGCAACTTACGCGAATATTTTTTACAATTTTTTGCACCATATTTTGTATAGTAATCTCGCTTGAAGTCAAAATTTTGGTCCACTTCGATTAATCTCTAATAATTTGGGAGACAGTTACATCTAATGTGATCTTTTAAAACCCTAGTAATATAAACGAGAATATATACAGGGTGTCCCAGTAACGGTAGTGTAATCGGAAAGTGGCTGATTCTACATGAAAAAGAAATCGAAAATAAAGAATAAAATTTTTTGATTCGAAGTTTCGTTATCGAGAAAATCGACTTTGAATGTTCACCCAGTACGTGTGTACTTAGCTATGGCTTAGATGTATGCACTATTAATACATCAACATCGGTGGTACAACCGAGGAGGGAATAATTTTATATAAAAAAACAAATCGAAAATAAAGAATAAAATTTTTTGATTCGAAGCTTCGTTATCGAAAAAATTGACTTTGAATATTCACCAAATACGCTGGTACACTAATAGTTCAACCACCTAAACCATAGCTAAGTGCACGTGCACTCGGTGAATATTGAAAGTCGATTTTCTCGATCACGAAGCTTCGAATCAAAAAATTTTATTCTTCATTTTCGATTTGTTTTTTCATGTCGAATCGCCTCTCACATTTTCGGTTGTACTACTATTGCTGCGATAATCTGTATATCTTCCAATTATAAGTTAAATGACGTTATACGAGGTGTTAAGTATAAGCTGTTTGTCGATGTTGTGTGCAGTGTATTGACTTGACAAATACTTGAAGAATCATCCTGATATAGGAAACGATGAAATGTTTGGTATAGTTAGGGAAACCGGTATAGGAAGTTCGTAAAGCGTTAAGTGGCGACACCTATTGATACAACTGTTCACGGTTGACGTAGCTTGTTAGAGTGGTCAAACCATTCGTGAATGAATACATAATATTCTTACCTGTAATCTTTTATTAAAATTGCACATGATATCATGTCGTGGTTGTATTTTGTTCAATAACAATTACGGAATTAGTGAAAATTAAGTCACCGTTGTTAAAAAGTAGGATACATTATTAAAAAAAGCAATACTAACAATAAGGTGAACCGAGACTAAATGAGATTCGCGTTTCTAAATCTGCCGAATTACTCATTTTGGTATTAGAAAACGTTCTAAAGTTTAGCTTCTGACCGATTTCACAGCCTTACTACTGTATATTGCGTAACAAATAAATGCCTCGAATGTTTTACCATAAGTTTACTTTTAGACTAACTATTTCTTTACGATTTCTATACATCTCATATCTTTTTGAAATGACATTAGAAAACTGTTGAATCACTGATGCTAAAAATATTTTAATTAGCACATTTAATAAATATCTTCACATTAATTGGAATCTTTCATGGATAGCTATGACACGTGAGAAACGTGAAGATTATTGAAAGTAGAAAATCTTCAAATACATAATTCTACACTTTCAGCTATTCTTTTAAAAAATTCTTAAAAAATTCTTATATGGAATTTTATAAAATTCTTAAAAAATTCATAACAAATTTTTATATGGAATTTTATAAAATTCTTTTAGAAAATTTGATAAAATACAAAATTTCTAAATAACTCCAAATAATTCCAATCCTTGAATAGAATGTAATGTCAGTATAAGCGATAAAAGAGAAACTCGAATATAAAAATCGCTTTCTTTTGAGACCATGTCACAAACTATTTCAGTGATGACCTAATAGAAGGTTAATTATGTTTTAATAGACTATTCAGCCTTTTAATGAATCTTTAATTAGTTCTCTAATTATTTGCACTTTTGGTATCCATTCTAGCCATTTCGTTACTCGTGATAAAATCTGAAACACAGTTATAAGTATTTCAATTAAACAAGCATCGAAAGATCAATTTAATAAAAATTCTAATTTCATCGAATAAAAGAAATTATTTAATAAAATGAAGTTAATACTCGTGTGTTGAAATTACAGGACCAAAAGAATTCAACTACAGAGGGCACAATTACTTCTACAGCGGACATGTTCCCGCTCATGCGAACCAGAGGGTAGACTGGTTAGATGCTAGGAACATCTGCAGAGAATACTGCATGGACCTCGTCTCGATGGAGACACAGGATGAGAACAACTTAATCTTCAAACTCATCCAACAAAGTAAGTAATTCAAATTGTAGAGATACTTTGCCAGAATAACCTCAAACTTGTTAATTATTTTACAGATTAACCATTAAGATTCTTGAACCGTTTCTTAAGAACAAAACCTGCAAACTATTTTAATGAAATTTGAATACAAACTGGTGAAAAGGTATACAGGCTGTAAAGAAGAAGATTGCCTCATTAGCATAAAACAGTATTTCTGCATTAAGTTAAATTTAATCACGTAGTTAAATTACATAAGAATTTATGAACCAAAGAATATTAAAATTACGCTATAAATCATATTAGACTTTTCAAAGAATTCTCTTTGGCGATGACTCAAGGCAAGACAATTCGTAGAACGAAAATTTTTATTAACCTGCATTTGCTTATTCATGAGTAAAAATCCATTCATCAAATTCATTCACGTGGTTGAATAATCTCGTAGCAGCGATTACTAGAATAAGCATAATTCATTAACGCGTGATGCACAGGCACGTTTCGCGAATAGACTCACGCGTGATCACGAAACGCTTTTACCTTCGGTTTCGTGCGGATTCAATGTGTATCCTGATTGCATCGCAATTAACTCCTCTTTTCTTTCTGTTTTTTTCTTTATTGTCACTCCTCACGTAAGCTTCATTTCGCAACGTTCGCTCTGCCATCCTTTCATGCATGCGCACGGGAACACAGAGTAGAAGACACGAAGAAACGCAAAGTTCAAATGGATTGCGGAATTCCTCGTATACTCTGAAAGTAATATCCATACATCGATGTTGCGAGAATCTCTTTTATAAACAATTCGTTGATAACCAGTGTTTGAATTTACCTCGTGCGTTTAGCAAAATTTTATTTGGAATTTTAGGTTAGGTAATTTCATAGTTGAACAATTCTGAATTTTCTTCAAATATGAAAATGAAAAATTTATAAGCAGAAATCAATTTCAATTTAATCGGCTTTAGCTCTGAGTATTATCTTTCTGATCCAAATTCGATTTTTTTGGGTTACTATATACAAAATTTTGGTAATCTAAAGAATTATAATGATTGTCAAAATTTATTCAGTTTATAGAGCAATCATTGATATAACAATTTTTAATTAGAAAAAATAATGAAAAATTAGAAGTAAACCAATGTATTTCATCTTTCGAATTTTTTTCAAATATTTTTGTAAAAATAACAAACTCTATTGCACATTTATTTAATCATATCATAGCTACAAATATTAAATTATATTTGTATACGTGTAAATAGAATATAACAAAAAATATAAATAGATTTAACCTAAAAGTCAAATTTAATTAATAAATACGATACTGTACTTGCCAATTAATATTAGTAATATTTCAGATAATTAAATTTTTACGAAGCTTACTAAAGTTGGAAATTGCGAGAGTCAATAACAGGTTTTCAAATCGTTCGTTTCGAAGCAGCAAAGAGGATTGGTGAAATAGGCACGATCGGTGATTACGCTAATTTGAGCAATAATCGATAGTTAACCTAAACGACGTATACCAAATAATTTCGTATAACGGTGGCTATTAAATTTTACGTGTTAGCAAAAATCTAAGGAGATATACAATCATTTATTTAACGTCAGACTTAGAAAGTTCTACAACCACTGAGATCAAATCGGTAACAGGAACACAGAAGCAGCAGTCAGGTCCACGAACAATTTATTACCTCACGTGACTTTCGTTCTTTAGCTGGCTGGATAGCGCAGAAATTTCGAAACAAATGATCCATTGCTATGAGGTCTTCAACTTCACTTTAAGTGGCTTGTAACATCGTCTCTTCAGCCATAGTGTTTCTTCACAACTGAAGAAAGTGAAAGACCCATCAATTTTATGGTTGGTTATTAGGAGAACAATATCGTGGAGAATATCTTTTGATCGAGCAGATATTTCAAAGAACGAGAACGATATCAATCGATTGTAATTAGTCATTGGTGTTATAAAAATGTGTTACGTATAATTAGCTATCAATATATTGAAACAGTTACATGCATAAAATTACCTTTTTATTTAATAAACAATTTAAAAAATGAAGAATTTTCGAATCTCATACTTTGCTGCTGGCTATTATAAGCAATTATAATATTTAATAGTATTAATAATATTAATAATAATTAATTAATACAATTATAATAGTATTTCTATTATAATTTAGCTTATCAAATACAAGCACTATTATAAGCAATTATAATAGTGTTTGTATTTGATAAATTAAATTAATCAGTTTGTATATAATTGACACAAAAAATGAGAACAAACAATTTATTAACCTTATGATCAACAATTACAATTATTTATTAAAAGAATTCTTAATTATAATTATTTATATAAAAAATCTGTTAAAATAAACATTTTTTTCTCCAAACAAACATTTTACAAGATGGAAGGGAAATATTTATTAACTTCATCTAATTACTTGTTTAAATTTAATTATTGGTAATAATCTGCAATTAAAAAATATTAAATTATTTTATCCAAGAAGCATTTTAAAATATATGTAATATTTATTACTTTTACCGTAAACTGTTGTTTATGTTGTCTATTATTAGAACCTCATCACAAGGCTATTCCCTCATGTAACAAACATTTTGATAAACAAGAACGTTCATTCAATACACATAGGTCTAAATTTGCATGTGGTTCATTTACATACAACTAATTGCTTTCGCAAGTGCAGATACAATTTCTATTCGTTGTCGAGAGGTTAGAATCTCCGAGTTAGCGAGCTAATGACAGAATCCTCAAGGCGAAACGAAGGATCTTTAAGTGGGTTGAGGCTGTGGAGTCTCATCTTTTTATATACATACATACACAGTTGCATCATGGAACGCATCAATCATTTCAAACGAATGTGTGTGTTACCGTGGACTAATACGATCTGAAAATCATCTGTGTTGGCATTTCTACGGCTATTTAACTCGTTTGTGCTTAGAACATTATTCGAAAATTGTTATTCTATTCTTGAAGACAACAATAGAAATTTTCTATGAAATATTTTTATTTCATACTTCATCGAAAATAAGAATATAACAGAAGCAGAAATTTAAAAAATTAGGTATATATAACAAAATTATAACATTTAAATATTTAAACATTTAAAAATTTGTTATGTTCCATTTTGGAATATTTATGGACCGAAAATAAAAATGAATCATACAGCGTATAATTTTTACGATATTTTATCACGAAATAAATATTATCACAAATATGAAGTTCAGTTTCCTTTATAAATTAATTCCATTCGGAGAAAAGAAGATTATCGATATTTATCAACCGGAAGTATCGATTAATCAAAAAGTCATTTTTCGTAAGATTCTTGCACGTTAGTTTATTAAAAAGTTGTACAGTTTGTATAATAATATATTGATCATTCCATTTATAAATATTACCATATATTAGTTTATTAGATATATCCTTTTTGAATTCGATGAAATATATAATTTCTTCGTAATATAAAATATTTGTAATGTATAACCCCTACTATTTTTGTGGCTTATTATAATGAGTGATTGTAAATTGTAAGATTTTTATTTTTGCTTCATCACTGAAAAGAAAAATTATACATTTAAATTATATATTAACAAATTGTTATTTTCACACAGATGATGTTCCTTTCATTTGGACATCCGGACGTCTTTGCGACTTCAAAGGCTGCGAGAATCGACGTGACCTCGAACCCAAATCCCTTTATGGATGGTTCTGGTCGGCCAACAGAAAGAAGATATCACCAACAAATCAAATCCCCGAAGGTTGGTCCTTCAACCCATGGTCTCAAACTGGTCATAAGAAACTTAGGCAACCGGACAATGCTGAATTCGACATCAATGGCACTAGCGAATCTTGCCTGTCTATATTGAACAACGTTTACAAAGATGGAATCAGCTGGCACGATGTTGCTTGCTATCACCAGAAACCATTCGTCTGTGAGGACTCTGAAGAACTTTTGAACTACGTGGGCAGCACCAATCCTAACATCCGCCTTTAAAGGCCTCGTGAATTAATAATTTACGTCATCAGCACCTGTTTTATCTGTTTCTGTTGCAGCTTAAACGAGACACGACTTAAAAAAAAGACGAAAATAAAAAAACAATCATCAAACATTTCTTATATTTTTTAAGTAAATTTACTTCCTATCAGCTTTAAAACGTTATCTTTTATATTGGTAACATGTCAAAGATTGAATCGAACTACAAAAGTTTGGACTTTTCAAATAAAAAAAAAGAGTAAATTACGCATGCTAAAATAATAATAAAAATAAAATATAAATTTGTCGATTTAAATCATCAGATTTTATATAAGTAAAATTTGTATGAAACTAAATATTATTGAGAAACTACAATCGCAATTTTTCAAAAGCATTTAATTATTTTTTCTCATACAAATATTAGTAATACAAATGCCATTACAATGATTATAAGTACATGTCATTAGGTATTTATGAATAACATTGGAATGTGTCTCGTTACTGCACTCTTCCTGCACTCATTCTTCAAAGGAATTCAATAATCTTTTACATTGTGTTTAATTTGTAATTACAATATCAGTTAATGAGTAATTAATAATGTAAACATATTTATTAATAGACATTTGGCAGACAGACTCTGTACATTTATGAATAAACTTTAATTGTAGATATTTAAAAGATTCAATTTATTTAGTAAATCTTACGAATTACACGTACGAACTTATTTGAAGTTAATAATGTTATATTTTTTATTTATGTGTGATTTATTTATGTTATATTTTTGTTTATATTTTTACTCATTTTCCGTTGTAATAGCGTCGGGTTCAAGTTGATCATATTTTTCTTCACTTTCTTCCGCGCTAGAAATGGAATTACTTTTTTTCTTTTTCTTTTTACCTTTAAGCTTATTAAGCTTTAATTTAATTCCGCATTTACGTTTTCGAGGTAAAGATGTCGGATCTGAAAATAAAATATTCCAGTATGAAATTATATATACATTTAACTTTTGAGTAGTATTTCTTTTTCCTAAGAAATTAAATAAAGGACTTCGCATTTTTATTCTAAACATTTACCTACTTTTTTATTTTTTAATAAATATATGATTTGAAAATTGTTAAAATTAAAAAAAAATTGGAACTATTCTTTCATATAACAAAAAAGGAATATTTTATATTTAATTTACAGCAAAATATTAATACGCACGATCTTCAGGTATGTTCATTTGCTTCCTTAAAACAGCTCGAACTTGTTTGTTAATAATTTCTCGACATTGCACGTCAAATCCACTTGGTAACCAGCCTCTTTTTTCATGGCATCTGGTACCAGGTAAAGGATCAGGTAATTTTGCTAACATTTCTTGTATTTCATCTACAAGAACGTCACAATACTGAAAGAAATTTCGTACTTAAAATATAAACTGACAAAAGATGATTAATTTCTAAAAAATAAAGAAAGTATAATAAACCTGATAAAACATTTGTCTTGATGGAGGTACCATTCCTTCCCGATAAATATACACATTTTCATTTAAATCTTGTTCTTTTTTAGAACTTTGTTCTTGGCTTGAAGTTGCATTTTGTACTATTGTTTTTTGTTTGGCAGCTGGTGTTGATTTATATGGCAATGTATAATCTGAATAATTTCTTTTGCATTTTACAGTAGATCCCAAGCCATCTAAATAAAATGACCAGAATGAGTAAAAAGATGTTTGAACATACGTAATATTTATAACAATAGTTGTAACATTTGAGAAACCTACGCATAGCTTTCAATCTATAATCTAAAGTTTGATATTTTCTTGCAGTAATATCTTTTCTTGGATCGTATCCTAATTTCACCCACATAATCTTCCATGGACCAGTCACAAAGTAATATGCTACTGCGGGTAATAAAATTTTCAGTCGTTCATGAGAAAATTTAGTTTTAAACATTATTGCATTTTTAGACCAAATTGGTCGTTCTTCAAAAATTTGACGAATCTGTTCAAAGTGTACATTTTGAATAAACTTGACTTTCATAGCCGTTTCTATGCCTGCTGGTGGTTTAGTCGGAACTTGCGGTGTCGAAAAATAAATAAAATTCGAGAATCCAGTTTTTCTTTTTCTACTCTTTCCTATTATATTCTCTGGATATGAATTCACTTCAGTTTTTGGTACATATTGCTGTACTGTATCCATTCTGCTGAACGCAGCTGGTGGCAAGAAGTAAGGCACATCATTTTTTAACCAAGAATAATGTGGTATATTGCTTGGATAAATCTTATCATATATACATTCTAATTTTTTAGGATCTTCTTTGCTCTGAGACATAGGCAAGTATTGAAAGTCACAAAGATCTGAAAAATATTATTTACATTTCTTAAATATGATACTGGAATGTTATAAATAAAAATATAAATTTATACAGTAAAAGTAGATAGATTAAATTCACTTCACTCTTTTTTCTAATTAATACATACTCATAAATCTAAATTCTGTGTCAACTCGACCTAAAATTTGTAATTTTGGCAATTCATAATCCTTGTCTTCAGAAAGATCCTCATATTTGTCATGATCAAATGTTGGTAGTATATTTTTCTTGCTTTTTGATAAATTTGTATCAGTTGTATCCAATGATAAATCTTGTAAATCTTTAATACTTTCAGAAAATAAGTCTATGTGGGAAGGGCCAGCAGAGTCGTCTAACGTATTAAAACTACAGCTTTGTACTTGACCAATTAGCTCAGTCATAAGTTGTTTTTGTTGATCATTATTTTCTACGTCATTACATTGTAACATATCTTGAGATCCTGGTAAATTTATTTTATCAACATTATTTTCAATATTTCCAGTATTTTCAGTATTTTCAGTGTCATCAGTTGAAGAGTCATTTAAATTTACTGTGGTTGGTGACTGTTTCTTTTTCGGTTTTGCTTCAGCTTCTTCTGCTTTTTTCACTCTAGATTTTTTAATTCTAACTCTAAGCAGAAAACCGTTAGTATTATGTCTATCACCACAAGTTGGTTTACAATAAATATCATCTGGTCGAAATCTTAATTCCAAACGTCGATTTGGAGTATTTACAGCCTATTAATGTATAAATATAAATTACAATAGTTAGTAATTAGAAATTAATGTTAATCCTTATAAGAATATAATATAATACCGTTGAAATGCTTTGTATGCCACCTAGAGTCTCTACAGCTTTGTCTGGATTAATAACATTTCCAGGATATTTAACACAAATAAATTTCCTATCAAATCTGTGACCTCCAGGAAGTATCGGTCCTACATACTCATTTTCTTGCTGATCATCTACCTTATTTAGATTATCTTCCGTCTGTGTAACATTTACAGTAATCAAAATTTTGTGTTTTGATACATTTTTATAAAATGTAATTCATACTTTTATCAAATTTATTTAAAAAATGTAAGTCATTTTATTAGTAAACGTATAATAACTGAAAATATTAATTTAATCTTACATGTTCATCATTATTAATTTCTGGAACATCACAATAGGAATCGTCGCTATCAGTTTCTTTCCGATATTCATTGATTTTAAAATCTTCATCTTTTTCATCTTGTGCTTTAATATTACCATCGCTATCACTTGATGTACTCATGTCACTATTCTGCATTGACATTCTGCAAGTCGTAAGTGTATCTCTTCGAACGATATATTTTTATGAATAATATCGTGTCAGCATATGCACATACAATAATATTATAACATTAACATGCATTATTGTATCCATATATACTATTATGTCATTTTGTATTTCGTTTTATAATTATAACGCAATTTCATTTGTGCGTATATCCGCCTACGTTACATTTTTAAATTGAAAAAAATTATAATATACATGTTTATTTTTAAGTGTCATTAATTTTATATTATAAAATTATTATGTTTTTACACTTGTAATATTTTGTAAAATAATGTCATACAAAAACTAATGATTATGTTGTGCTCACGTTCGTATTTTTACTATTGAGGTTAGATTCACAATGAACACGACCGTTTAAGGTTAGAAATCTTTCGCCAATACATTATCTGGGTTGTTCAAATTGCCTAACTACAGGCTTCATAAATTTTCTTTTTTTAACTTTGATTATTTTGTCTTTAATTGTAAAAATATGTAAGAAATATATATATTTTAAGTATTATCATTTCAAAAATAATATTATATAAGTAATTTTGTATATTTTTACAATATAAATTTATAATTTGTACGAGAAAATAAATGTTGATAATAAAGTTATAAATATAATATTAATATAAATATTATAAATATGTAAAAAAATATCGACATATTTTGTAATATATATTAGACAATTTCTAAACTCGATTTATAACACTAATTAACTTTTAAATTAAAAATAAAATATTTACTTAAATTCATTATAAAATTTGTTAAAAACAGTAATGTTTTAAAAGATAGTTATATTGAAAAACAAAAGAATATATTACAACACTATTATTGCTACAAAGTAACAATATTCTTGTCAACAATATTAAGAAAAAAAAATTTGTTGGGAAAAATAAGTAAAAAGAAAGTAAATGAAAGTGTAAAGGTATTAACTACTGTATAATAATCTATTTCATGGTCCTAAAAACTACCACAAAATTATAAATAAATTTTTATTGCTATAAATAAATAAACAAAATTGATACAATAAATCAGATTCATCCTAATCAATCTTTATATACAATTTTTCAAAACAAATTTAAGATATTGAACAAAGTAAATAATAATTTGTTTATCAAATATTTCATCAGAAACAAACTGATTTCAGAATAAAACATCAATGATACATGCGAATATTCACAATTACATATTCTTAATATTTTATTAAAATAGATATAAACATACGTATTTAAAATTATTCAGACACTCTGTTTCACTTCTACGAATCAAGACTTTTCAATATAGTTAATTCTCATAGGAATCAAAACACTTCGGTGACTATGTCAAGGATAAAAACATCGATTCGATCGACGATCGAAGCTGTTTCGATTACTGAAACAAAGCAACCGGTTGATTTCATCTGGACAACGCTACGACAACGTCCGGCAACTAACGCATAGCTGGCGATAATTCCTCGATAATAGCTCGATAACGGGTCTCATTGTCCCATGGAATTTCAACAGAACAGTGCAACAACGACGGTGTTCGGCGACGCCGCGACCACCGACACGCCGAAAATCTCCTCGCCTTTGTATCGACGCAATATGACACCGGATAAACGAAGTCCCGGCTCTATTTACTGCCGAATTTGTCACGAAGGTATACGATATTAATAACTTTCAATCTTTTTTTCACTTTTTTTTTCTTTTGCTTTCAAATATATCGATCGTGTAACCTGTACGATCTTTATTTACTTCTTCAATTGTTTTACTATCGAGTGATTTAAAATTGAAACTTACTAAGTGTTTTCATGATTCGATTAACACGTTTGGAGTGTTTGAAAACAATGTGTTGTTGCAGTTTAAATAATAAATTTTTTTATATAAATATGGTGTATCAGTTGTGTTCTAACATCCACGAGTATTAAGTGATAAATTTGTCATTTAAATAAAGACTTCAGTGATAAATTAAATATAAAGTGTTTGTGTAATTTAAAGACGAAGTATCTTTACGAATGAAATAGGAACTTTGAAAGTGAATTATTGCAAACTGTGTTCAAGATCTAGTTACTTACTAGAACATTTAAATGTGAGGTGTCTTTGCAAGTGAAATAATAACTTCAGGAGTAAATCAAGTGTTGAATAAAAGTGAACAGAAATTAAATAAATTCCTTCAAAAAGTAACGAATAATTTTTACATAGTTTTAACTGTAGTGACATTATTTCTTGCCATGTCTATTTTTAATCAGTGGCTTCTAGTACGTTTTCGTGAAAGATAAATAGTGATATGAAATATATATGTGTGTATATTACATGTCATTCGGCTAAAAATGATATTAGAATGGAAAAAGGTAGAATGAAAAAAGTGTAGTATATTTACGGAATATGCTTAAAAGGGTATGTCTTGACCTCGATGTAGTGATTCAGTTTTGTGATTAATGGGAAAGTTTAGAAGCGCTAACGTATTTGCTGCATTGTTTTAATGATTTTATCTTTGCTGTAGAACGTTGTTTTAATGTTGTTCGTTGTTGAACAAATGTTCAATTTTAAATAAAGAACATTAACAAACAATCGATAATTGGTATTGAGACTGTTATTATATGTCAGATGAGAGAGACAAGGAAAAGTATATTAAATTCGTTTATCACGAATTTAACGAGTGTATCAATCTTTTGCTTCCTGTATGGTCTTGTACCTTTCTTTGTAATAAATACCTTAATAATACAGTACGTTAAAATGGTGCAATATATCATTATTTATAACGAAGAATAAAAAGATAATAGACATGAGAATGGATCATAAAGGGATTTATTAATCAATAAAAAATTTAATTAATATCTTAGGCTAATTATTGCTTTAAAAATGTATTAATATTGTATTTCTATATTTATTATTATATTATCTCATTTTTCACATAATTAATATAATTATATTACTAATTATTAAAAATCTTGTATAATATTTTTAAATAACTTGGAGATAACAAATTTAATATATATTTTATATGATTTTATGTAATAATTGTTCGATAAATTTGATTATGTATTGTAATAGTTCGATTGTTTATATTTTAATGATTGTATGTGTTTTACTTTTTATCAGTTACTTGAACATTGTCATTAGAAAATTTCGCAAGAATACAATGACGTTCCTGAATATACTCTGAGTCACAGTCTGTGATAGGTGCTATATTTTGTGATGAAACGATAACAAGAACAGGTTACTAGTAATCTATAACATATAAACTATAGAACTATTAAATATATATATATACAATCACGTGTATAATTGTAATTATTAATAAAAAAAAAGGTTATATTGGATACATGTACGATTTCTTAAACAAACACGTAATAATTAATTAAGTAAAAAAAAATTTATATTTGAAAATAAATTTTTAGGTTTTATTTTTAAGAAATTATAAATATGTTTTAAAAATTTTGAAACTAAGTTATGAAGTTTAATCAAGATCATTGAAAATTTTTGAATTTTTCGAAGTTCAACTGAATTTAAAAAAAGGGATAATGATTGGGATAATGAAAGGGAAAAAAAAGTTTTATTTTAAAATAAAATAACAAGTTTATATTTAAAATTTTCAGTTGGAGAAATGTAAGATTTAAACAAAATTAAAAAATTTAATTGAATTCGAAAAGATATCTAAAATTTGTTTTAAACTAAAACTGAATTTTCTTTAATTATAAAAATTTTGTAAAAATATTACGATTTTTTATTAATAGTAAGTATTAAATTATGTGCAAGGTTAATTCTTATCTTATAATTTTATTATCTATATGAATAATATCGATAAAAAATCTTATGATAAGATTAACGAACTTAAAACTACTTTGATGTAAAGATATATATTTTATGTATTATAGTTTTAGAAAAATTTCAATCAAAAACTCTTCGGATAATAGTAAATACACTGTGATTCGTGACCAAAAATATATCAAGGAAAGATCCTCAAGTATCATCGGTAAAAAAGGAAATTGCAAACTACATGAATGAATATTTGAATAAATTTCCAAATAATCTTCTGAAGAATTTTTCAATATTTTCGAGCTCAAAAATTGTAATTACTCAGAAAAAATAGATTTTATAACACAACTTTAGGTTCAGTTATTCAGAAAATTGAAATTAAATTTTAAATAAAATCTGGAGGCAATGTATTTTCATAACATTTATACTATATTATATAATATATGTATTGGTCTTTTTATGATCTTTTTATTATCTATTTCACAGGCCATATAGTTTTTTTTTTTAATATTTTGTTTCTTTTAAGAATGAATTTTGTCAAGTGAATTTTGCAGGACATTAAAGTACTCAATTGATAACAAACATAAATCTAGAATGGAGCGGATGTGGTTAACTAACCTATATAGTAAAGACTAATGTTTGTCACTTGCTCTCCATTTATATACCTAGCTCAAATTTCTCGTTCAAAAACAACTCATATTTCCTATCGATCTATTACGGATATTTACTTTTAATTTAATTTAATTATATAAAATATTCAATTATTTTATTTTTTGGAAAAAATTTATAATTAAAACTCAATACTTAACGTTGAAAATGTTACGAACATAGTATCATTAATACTAAAACTATAGACATACATATAATGCATATCTCAATGTAATATACAATAATAATGTGAATTAAATTAGTATAATGGAAACAAATAGATTTTATTATAATTGCACTCCTGTTTCAATGAAAATTAACAGTAACTGCAAGAGTAAAGTATTTAAATAATAATTTAAAGTATTTCTAGTTTGATAGTTCCAATGTTACGAAACTTAATTAACAAAATTATTTATAGTTTATTTATATTTATATAATATTATATTAATTATTAAATATAAAAAAGGATATTTTTTATAATTATCCAAATTTGTATTGAACGTTATTAATTAATCAAAAACAATGAGAAATTTCTCAAAAATATACTGCAAAACAATTTATTTAAAATAAATAATCGCAACAGATTATTAATAGTTCTACAAAGCTTATGTTACAATATTTCTATAATCTTTCTTATTGTACGAAGTATAACAACATATTACTTATTATTACTTTATTTTTATTTCTATAATTAAACTTATTGACGATATTATTAAATAGATTGGTATAATAAGAAAAATTTGATTCACAGATGGAGGCGTGGAAGAATTGATAGATCCTTGTGAATGCTCTGGTACGTTGGGCTTAATCCATGCATGTTGTTTAGAAAAATGGTTGTCTATGTCGAACACAGATCGTTGCGAGATTTGTAAACATTCGTTTGCGATACAGAGGCAGAATAAACCATTATCACAGGTAATTTTCTATTTTTTCTTATTTTTTTGTTCTTATTTATTTGGTCGTTTATTCGATCGTATTTTAATTTTGATTTTAATTTTAAGCCAGTCCACAAATTCCAGGAGATGGCAAGGAAGAGATGATAGTGCAGAATAATTTACACCATCGAATAATTTTCATTAAACATTGAGATCGGGAGAATTCTATTCCTTTTAGAGAATTAATCCATTTATCGAATATAATTATATAATTAAATGAAACCTAAATGTATCAGAATTAAGTATAATTTAAGTAAACGTAGGGGCGATTAATTTAAAAATTTATGTGAATTTACTTAAGTGCCGAGAGTTTCGAATCATGAAAATAACAATTTTGAATTTTGAATGGTTTCGAGTGACCAATCTTTATTAATCCTTTGCATTCGATGATATTTTGTCTAAAGAAGAGTAGATATTCAAAGATTCTCTGATATAAAGCTGACGATATTTTTTTCATCGGTAAATAAGAAATCGTATAATAATCAACTCGTAGAATTATTCGATTTTGATACTTCATATATTGTTACATTACCGCAAATTTGAGATATTAATTAATATTGATCTCCAAAATTTTATTAAACGGTGACTGAAGGTCGCCTCTTGAGTGCTAAGGGTTAAAAACATTTTAAAATTGCAACAATTTAATTTTCAAAAATCTAAGCGTTATTAAGTGTAAATTATTGCAGTCTTTCAGGCAATGGTGGAGGACTAGGAATATATATGGACCTCAAGGTGTAGCTGGTGATGTAGTGTGCTTGGTATTGTTAACTCCACTTTGTATTGCGGCAACATACTTGTGTGCAGTTGGTGCATTTGCTTACACCAAACGTGGTTTTTGGGAAGGAACAGGTTTGGCTGCTCTTTGTTGCATGCTAGTGACCACTTATTGTTTGTGGTTGATTGTCACTATCAGGTATGACTGCCTTATGTTCCTAATATGAGAAAAATTATGGATTAACATACAGCGTTCCCGCGTTGTTAATAATATTTTATATATTTATGATGAACTTCTTAAATAATTTAATAAAATCTAATAAGTTAATGAAAATAAAATTAAGATTAAATGATAATTTTAATTCACATTTAAATTTGTATTTTTAGGTTTCATTTTAAGTCGTGGAAACAGTGGCGCAGAAGAAATCAAGATGTCAAGCTAATAGTGAAACATAAGTCTGAAGTATTGTCGAATTTTCAAATCCTTTAAAAGTTAGATATTTAAATGCGTACGCTTTGAAACTTAAACGAATGGAAGGAATATATTTTAAAAATCAGATTGATGACAACTGATTTAAATGCGTTGGATAGTTTTCATTAAAAAACTATTGAAAGCATTTGAAAGTTGATCGTTGAAAGAATTTACGTATAATTTGTCATTAAAAGAACCTTATCTTTCTATACTTCTAAAATGATCTCTTCTTTTTTGCAGTTAGTTAAACTTTTGTCCATTCAGTATTGAATATTGTTAAAATTAAAATACACTACTGATAAGTGATATGGGTACATTCTGGACAAATCTGTGATCGAGCGATGTACAATTGTGTAATATCGTGCTAATTAATATAGGGAATTGATATTGTATGATATTAATAATAGCTCAAATAATGAAGTACCTGAACGGACAGATACAAGATAGTTTTATCAACAACATGTTCCATAAAATAAAAAAAATCGAACAAACGTTTGTAAAAAATTTGAGAAGTTCGAGTATAAATAATATCTATCAAAAAAATTTTAAAGAATATCAATTAATGTTTGTTTATTTAAAAACTGCTTGTTTCGTATGTGATATTAATATACTTATCTCCTCGAGCGTTTAGGTTACAATTAATAACAAAATAGTGATCTGTACTTACGAATAATTGTACGTGTACTCATAATCATACTTAATATTGAAGTTACTTAATTAATTTAAGGCAACACTATATAGTATTTTTAGTAATTTATTTTTATCTATCGCACCGAAACGAATATGTATATAAGAGCACTCTTTTAAAAAAATAGATTTATACAACATATCTTATGCTCAAAGAATTGCGAGCAAATTTTGATACATCTATGTAAAAGCGTAATTCATAAAATTTTTTATACGTGTGTGTGTGTGTGTTTTCCTAAAAATACAAAGGCGTGTGTTGTATTTAGGACAAAAACCATTGATACGAACATATTTTGATATGAAATGTTAAAAGTTTTTAAGGACATAGTTAAAAATACATAATACTAATATTTGTACGCTATTCAAAACTTCATTTTAGCGGTAGTTTTGTAAAATGAAAATTGTAAACAGTATATTTAAATTTTTCCAAACAAATTAAAAAAAATAATAACAGTTGTGATGGTTTTCCTAATTTATGTAAAAGAGCATTTTTTATGTTGTTCAATTTGTATTACACAATGGGATTAAAATCTGCTCAAGAAACTACAAAATCAACAATACAAAAAGGATTACAAACAAATATTTAACTTATTTGCGATTAAGTATGTTAAGTGAATAAAAATTCTACTGTAATCCACCAAATTATTATGAAAAATAATCTAAAGCTTTTTTAAGTCTTTGTAAAATATTTTGTAGAAAAATGAAAACAGATGTCATTGTAAAATGTTTTGTGTTATCGTTATACTGAGAATCAAATTATATTTCTGTTTGTGAAATGTAATTTTATTTTCGTTATTCTGAAGAGTTTTAGTAAATTTAGTTTATACTAAGTTTATGTCTACATTAATGCGTGCACAAAATTTATAAATTAATTGCATAAAATATATTAATTAATGATAAACTATTATTGTAGTATCTATGGGAACAGTTCAAACACGCTGTGCAATAATCACTAATTAACAAGAAATTTATATCCAAAATTATATTAGAGAGTTTTTTAAAAACCCGTCTTTACGATGTAATTATAAAAGTTCAGAAATTAATCACAAAAATTGTGTAATTTGTTAATTTTTCTATCCTGTTTTAACCGCTGTCTATGCTGCAATGTCACATGGTATTCGACGACCTTCTCGCGCATTCTGTGCTCCTGTTACCTATCCCGAGCTTCGAGCCGAAAATCATAGATGGCACTAATTGAATATCGCTTGATTTTTTATCCTCTTTTAATTGCTGTCTAATCCTCGTCTGTGACACCACGTGGTAGTCGACGATCTCCACGTGCATTCTGTGCTCCTATCACCTATCCCGAGCTTCGCGCCGAAAATTATAGATAGCACTGATCGAATGTCCCTTGATCTTTATTTCATTCAGTGAATCAGTGCGACATCAAAGAATTGCATTAAGGGTATATTGAGTTTGCATATTAACAAGATTCGTACTATATATCATATTTTGCTGCACATTTTAGACAACATTTTTGTTTCAATTCTTTGCAATTTTTACAATGACATAAAAGAACATGCAGTAATAATTAGTAAACAATATTTGCTATAAATTTTATAATACCTTAATTATTAATTAATATGTTATTGATAATTTAGAATTTGGACAGTATACAAGTCACACACGAAGACCAAAACAATAAATAAATAACACCATTGTGAGTATAAGAAAGAGACACATGTATATTTTTGTCGTTTGTCTGTATAGTCATAATGAATTGTATTTTTTTGTTCGTAGCCTGTTATACGTGGCGCCATTGCACTTGGTATTCAGATTACGCGTAGCTACGGCACTGTCGAGGTTAGAGAAACGAGCAATAGCTTCGTGGCAGTAAAACCTGGTATACTCGTTACCGTTGAATATTTTCTCCATCTAATCAAATTAAAAACTGTTTCGACAATTCTTTTTCATTATTTCCTTTCAGAAAAACCTTCAGAATACGTCATTGTGGAGCAAATTCGTGTCAAATAGTGAACTTTTTATAAAAATGGAAGAATAGTGCCTAGAAAGTACATATGCACGTTGGTTTATTTTTAAACTTGCATGATCAATTATAGTTATTTAAAAACATAAATAATTATAATTATGGATATTGATAAACTCTTTGCACCCTCTTCTAACCAGTAAGACAACAATGAACCTTCTAACGTTCTTACTGTTCATGTAATACTTTATTTTATTCAGAAATCGTGAGTTTTTAGAAAAAAATGTGGATAGAATGGATAATAATATCTAAGTCCTTTTAAAAAAGTAACACAAAGTATATTTAAATTTAAATATTTAAGTATTTAAATAATAAATATTTAATTTTTATTTATATTAAATTTTAAATATTTAAATATTTAAATAATAAATTATTT